ATGAGGACACAGTCACATACGGCCAGGCATCAACCCGCCCCAAACATTGGTGGGGGTAGAAGATCTCGGGCCCGTCCCCACGGTCAGTCGTCCGCCCAGCCCTTCCCACCTCAACAGCCGTCCGCCTAGCCCTTCCCACCTCAGCAGCCGTCCGCCCAGGACTACTATATACCTCAGCCCGACCCTCAACAAGGTGAGATTTTTAAATTAATAATTTTGTTTTTTCCAGTCCAATTTATGATTTATTTTTTTCAATTGAATTACTCAAATGAAGAAGATGAAGAAAATGAAGATGCACAAGCTTTTCAAACTGACACGCTTCTCACACCTCAACCTTCGTCTTCTTCTCATATGGTATATACTTGGAGGGGGTCCAGACTGCGCAGATCTAGGGATCCATACACTCATTCCTAGTTAGTTGTGTTGAATTCATGAATTTTGTGTTCATTTTGACATTGTTGGATTGTCTGTATAAACTGGATTATATCGTTTTGTATATATGTTGTTCAATAAATTATTGTTTCATTTGTTTCTTTATAGTTTATGTTGGATTATTATCGGGCGGATATGTTGATATTAGTTGCTCGAACATGTATATTTGGTTGTGAACATGTATATTTGGTTTTAGGGTAAATTTGATTTTTAAGGTTTTCACAGAAAACGTACTTATGAAATTAATTTAGAATTTATTTTATAAGAAAACGTATTACGTGAATACATTTTTAGTGAAAATTAATTTAGGTTAAATTATTTTATAAGAAAATGTATTACGTGCATACGGTTTACTTGTTTCTATTTTTTTTTTAAAAAATAATAATTTTGTAACGTGTATTTAAAATACGTTTTAATGTTTAAAACAAATTTAAAAAAAAAATGAATTTTAAAACGCATTTATTAAATACGTTTCAATGTTTAAAAAAAAATCAAAAAGAAAATAAATTTTAAAACGTATTTATGAAATACGGTTTAATGTTTAAAAAAATCCAAAAAAATAATGATTTTTTTTTATGAATACGATTTACATTTGATTTAATTAAGGTAATTAATTAAAACGTATTACATGAATACAGTTGATTTTGAAAAACTCAGCAGACCGTATTTCGTGAATACGTTTTACTATTGAAACGTATTCTATTTGGTCCACTCCATTTTTACTTTTTTTTTGGTCCACTTATTTTTCAATTTTTTTTTTAGGAAATAAATCAGCAGTATTTAGTGGACATTGTTCACAAGTGATAAGCATTGTACTACAAACAAATGAAGGTATATGTATGAACCCTTTCAATTGAAGTTAGGACTGTAAATATATAAGGAATGTCGACAGGACACCCTTGCACGAACACAACATAAAAGCAACTCAGGCTCAACTCATATTCCAACTGCCGGCAAATATGGCTTAGTGCCTAGCATACAAGTAGTGATGTAGAGCGTAGTACAATTGGGAACAAGATGAGATTCTCTCTCGAAGAACACACAGAAATTTTATTCAATCGTCAAAAACTGACTTTCTCATCATCCAAATAACATATAAATAACAAGGATAAAATAAGGATTCCTAAACTTGCCCCACAATTGCAAGTTAATTATTTTTCTACCCCAAAATATTACTTACTAAAAGAAATAAAATAAAAGAGAACAAATAATCACGAGACCATTAAAAACCGACTAAACCCGAAGACGGTCATATTTATTCAAATACGCAATAGCGGTCTCGTCTTCATCATCCTCCCCCGGTTGAGCAGGATTCGGCCTCGAATCCGAACCGGTCTCGTCTTCGTCCGAGTTGTCGCCCACAAACGGTACCAAGTGCTTGATGTTGAAAACGTCAGAAGTACGAATATGAGAAGGAAGGCGAAGACGATAAGCATTGGGATTAATTTTCTCAATTACCTCGACCGGGCCAATCTTTCGGGCTGATAGTTTATTATACTCGTGGGCCGTGAAGCGATCCTTGGTCAGGACGGCCCAAACGTAATCACCAACCGAGAACTCCACATGGCGGCACCGCACATCCGCCGCTCGCTTGTACGCCGCGGTCGTGTACTCAAGTCGGGCCCAGGTCGCGGCGTGTGTCGCCTTCAGATCAGCAAGGAGGTCCGTGGCCCGGCGATCAGTCGCTGCCCCAGACGGCAAACTGACCAAGTCGGATGGTCCTCGTGGGCGAAGCGCATAGACCACCTCGAATGGAGACAAGCCCGTGGCACGACTGATAGCCGAATTATGAGCAAACTTGGCCTGGCTCAACCGTTGGTCCCAACTCCGCACATTATCACCTACCAAACAACGAAGAAGGTTGCCCAGCGACCGATTCACGACCTCCATTTGGCCGTCCGTCTGTGGATGGTAAGCACTGCTGAAATCCAAACGAGTGTTCGCCATGCGCCATAGGCTACGCCAGAAGTGGCTAAGGAACCACGTGTCGCGATCCGAAACGATCGAGGACGGAAGGCCATGGAGACGGTACACCTCGCGAAAAAACAACTGGGCCACATGTACCGCATCCGTCGTGCGCTTGCAAGGGATAAAGTGTACCATCTTAGAAAACTGGTCGACAACGACAAAAATGGAGTCGAAACCACGCTGAGTATGTGGTAAACCGAGCACAAAGTCCATGCTAATGGCACTCCACGGCTGCGAAAAAATGGGGAGAGGCCGATATAAACCCGCGTTGGACGCGGTCCCCTTTGAGACATGGCAAATGCGACACCGCTCGACGAACCTACCCACATCCCGCCGCAGGGACAGCCAAAAATAGGAATGCCCAACCAAAGCGACCGAACGGTCCCGCCCAACGTGCCCGGCTCCGTGCAGATCAGCAATAAGTTTGAGGCGAAGGCTGCAGTCCGGGATACACAGCCGAACCCCTCGAAAAAGAAAGCCATCCGACAAAGAGTAGTCGTCAACAGGGCCCGTCGCGAGGCGACGCATAATTGGCCCAAAAGAACCCATCATCAGCATACATATCACGCAAGACATCAAAGCCCACAACAGAAACCCGCATATCAGTCAATAACAGTGCCCGACGGCTCAGTGCATCCGCCATGCGGTTCGAAACTCCCGAACGATGCTTAAGAACAAAAGTAAACTGCTGAAGAAATGCTGTCCACGAGGCATGTCGAGCCGAAATATTATCCTGAGATGCCAAATGCCTCAATGCCTCATGGTCCGTATATAAAATAAAGTCCCGATGAAACAAGTAATGACGCCAATGACGGACAGCCCTAACAATGGCATAAAACTCCACATCATATGTGTTGTAGCGACAACGAGGGCCCGAAAGCTTCTCACTGAAAAAAGAGACGGGACGACCCTCCTGACTAAGAACAGCACCGATGCCGACCTTCGAAGCATCGCAAGAGAGCTCAAATGGGCTCGAAAAATCTGGAAGAACAAGCAAAGGAGCCGAAGTCAACTTGCCCTTGATCAATGTAAATGCGGCCTCAGCCTCCGGAGTCCAGACGAACGACTTCCCATGAAGGCAATCAGTAATCGGGGTCGTGATAGTGCTAAAGTGGGAAATAAAGCGACGGTAGAATGAAGCGAGGTCGTGAAAGCTACGAGCCTCAGTAAAGGACGTCGGAGTCGGCCAATCACGAATAGCAGCCACCTTGCTCTCGTCCACACGGATGCCCTCCGCCGAAATGACAAATCCCAAAAATAGCACCGAACTCACCAAAAACACACACTTACGAGGCGCGGCAAAAAAGGACTCAGCACGTAACACAAGTAGCACCTCCCGAACATGCTGTAAATGCTCATCTAACGTCCGACTGTAAATAAGAATATCGTCGAAATAAACGACAACACTCTTGCCAATAAAGTCTCGGAGGGCCTGATTCATCACTCGCATGAACGTACTAGGAGCATTAGACAAGCCGAAAGGCATCACCATCCACTCGAACAGACCCTCACGGATCTTAAAAGTCGTCTTCCACTCATCCCCCGGACGGATCCGAATCTGATGATAGCCGCTACGAAAGTCCAGCTTGGTGAAAATAGACGCACCATGAAGCTGATCTAGCAAATCATCCAGCCTCGGGATTGGAAAACGGTAACGAACCGTGATCTTGTTGATGGTGCGACTGTTGACACACATGCGCCAGGAATCGTCCTTCTTAGGGATCAGAAGGGCGGGAACTGCACAAGGACTCAAACTACGACGCACGGCCCCCCTCTGAAGAAGCTCCTCGACCTGCCGGCGCAACTCCTCATGCTCCAATGGGCTCATACGGTAGTGAGGGCGATTAGGAAGAGCTGCCCCCGGCACCAAATCAATGTGGTGCTGAATATCACGAAGGGGAGGCAAACCAGATGGTAGTTCCTCCAGAAAAACGTCAGCAAACTCAGACAATAAGGGCTGGATGGCCAACGGGGGCTGTCTGTCGTCACTCGCATCCGTCCCAACCAGCAACAAAACCACAGAAGAGCCCGCCATCGCGGTCACAAAAGCCGACTGAGAAAGAAAAAGAACCGAAGGCGCGGAGGGTGTTGGCTGCAACGCAC